ACCAATTATGATACTTGGGCTTCGGATATCAAGCTTTGGCTTAAGGGACAGGATTATGTTGCTCACCTTCCCCAGACAGCTGCTTCCGTTGATGAGAAGGATCGTCCTCGTTGGTTGAAAATTGACGCTCAAATTTGTAGTGTCCTTAAGTCGACCATTCATCCCTCTCTAAAGCAAATTTTTCGTGCCCATGAGACATGTGTTGGTGTATGGGAACAAGCCCGAGTGTTATACACCAATGATACTCAACGTCTCTATGGTGTGTGTCAAAATCTCCAGAATATCATCTCCCCACGACGCCTTGATGGCTCCATGGCTGAGTATTTGGGCAAAGTTCATGGCCTCCTACATGACTTCAATGAACTTTTGCCTCCTGCTGACACTCCTGCCAAGGAACTAGAGCAACGCCAAACATTCTTTATGTTGATGGCATTGTATGGGCTTCCTGATGAGTACTCTTCCATTCGTGATCAGATTTTGGGATCTCCGACCGTGCCTACCTTGAACTCGGCTTGGTCCACTCTGTTGCGTGTGCCTTGCAAGTTTTCCCCTGACATACCTTCTTCAGCTCCCACTGGCGACTCCTCTGCTTTGGTTTCTCAACGTGATGATCGTCAGCGTTCTCGCAAACCGGGCAAAGGTCGTCCCAAGTGTGATCACTGTCACAAACTGGGCCACATAATTGACCGTTGCTATGTCTTACATGGTCGTCCCCCTCGCCCTACTACTGCTGTTGCCCACATTGCCTCTCCTGTCTCTACTGCATCTGGTGCTACCCCCTCTGATAGTTCTGGCTCTGGCCCCCAGCTCTCTTCAATGACTTCCTTAAATGGTATGAAGAACGTCAAGTTTCAAATTCCACTACTTCTGTTGCGCACACAGGCCCTTCGTTTGTTGGTCTCACTCACTCCACCTCTCTTGGCCCTTTGGTCCTAGATTCTGGTGCTACCGATCATATTTCTGGTAATCGGTCTCTTTTCTCATCTCTTTCTACCTCTACTTATTTACCCTCTATCACTATGGCTAATGGTTCTCGCGCCACATCTCATGGTGTTGGTACTGTCCATCTTTCTCCTTCTCTCTCCATTGACAATGTCCTTTATGTCCCAGAGTCTCCCTTTAATTTATTATCCCTTAGTCGT